CAAAATTCTGATAAAAATTGACCAAATTCTGAAATTATCGTGAGGATTCTGAGAAAGTTGGAATTCCAACAACAGGAAAGTTGAATTTCCTATTTAAATTATTACTGCATCTGGATATAACCAGATGTCTTCTTTTCTGAGGCAAGAAAAGTCAAAATTTGGAGATTAAAGTAAAAATTTTGCAGAAATTTGAGAATATTTGAAATTAACATTCGAATTCTTAGAAAAAAAGTTACAATTCTGAACTCAAAATCAGAATTTCAGAATTTTGAGATCAAAGGCAGAATTCTGAGAAAGTCGGAATTCCGACAAGAGGAAAGTTGGACTTCTGAGGGGGAAAAAAAGTAGGAATTCCAAGATTTAAGTTAGAATTTTGTAATCAAAGGCAGAATTCTGAGAAAATTTGAAATTAACATCAGAATTCAAAATCAGAATTCTGAGATCAAAGCCAGAATTCTGAGATCAAAGCCAGAATTTTGGGAAAAATTTCCACAATTCAGAAATAAACATAATTCTCAGAAAAATATATATATATTTTCCCCCAGAGGCCCTCATCCTCTTCTGTACTAACCAGATCTGATGTGAAGAAACCTTTGCAATAAAATTTAATGTCGTATGATAACATGCTAACACACCTGTCCGTGGTCCTGAAGCAGTTCACAAATGTAATTTCCTAACTTGTGCTACATGAAATAAACCTCAGTGGAGTCACTTTGACTCAGCGGTGTTAAAATTAGTAGTTTGAGATCTGACAGGAGATAAGGGCAGGAGTGGGTGAGCAACGACTGGCTTGCAGCGATTTCTAAACTAATAAAAATCATCACACCTCTGCATTCCGGAGCAGCTCTCTCTCCGTTCGGTCTCGGCCCTTGTCTATTTGTCACCTGGTTTGTCCACTCGATGCAACCAGACAGAACAAACAAACCGCATGCCAAACAAACCGCATGCCTCACCGATTCATCCGTTTCTCATTGGAGTTTCATTTTTATCCTCGCTGTCACTATCACAAGAAATCATAAAGTAAGTGAGCTGGATGCCTGTGGTTCTCTCAGAGTCTTGTGTGTGTGTGTGTGTGTGTGTGTGTGTGTGTGTGTGTGTGTGTGTGTGTGTGTGTGCGTGCGTGCGTGCGTGCGTGCGTGCGTGCGTGCGTGCGTGCGTGCGTGTGTGATGGTTTAATTGTGAGTGATTGCAGGAGCCCGGCTCAGCTCTGATGATTCAGGTGCTATAAAAGCGTCTGGTGTGGCCGGCTCTACTTTAAGCGCCACCGAATGTGGAGCGGTCGCCCACTGAGTGAGCGCTCCTGTTTTATGACAGAGGGAGTGAATAAAAATACACCCGGCTCCTGGGAGACGGTCTCCATGGCAGCAGTTACTGTGGCAACAACAGGGCCGCACGTGAAGCGGCGGCTGCCGTGGCGCCCAGGGGAGTTCACCCCGTCAGGCTGCTGCAGGGCAGGACACACACAGGAAGGAGCATTTGCTTTGAAAAGCAAAGATAAGGGTGAAAGATCACCGGAGGGGACAAACAGGAAGTACAAAGATGTGGAAATGCTAACTGCTAACACGCTTTCGTTGAGCTTTTTTCCTCAAAATTTTCCGTTTGAGCTCAAAATCGGGACTTCAAATTAGTTCAGTTTTCTACATCAGTTGCAGTTTATTTGTGATCTGACCTATATTTACAGAATCACACAAATATTAGAGTTTTTTTTTTCCTTTTACTTGAGTGATTTTATTATGAAGTATCTCTACTCTTGGTTGAGTGAAATGTCTGGATTTTCTACCCACTGAGTGAAAAACAAACGAGTTAACCAAATATTCACCAGACACAAACACCTGCAGTTTCTCACAAGTTTTTTATTGAAAGAAACTCAACTGGAACATTTTGCCTTATTTTGTTATTTTTTTGCTACTTATTTGAATGATTGTAATTTTGGTCCTTAAATCACCGAAATTTCCACTTTGTTCCGTCTGATGATCAAATGGTTGATCATTTGATCAGCTACTCAGTACTTGTGTCGATGTTTTATCAAATACTTTTTTACTCTTACTTGAGTGATTTCTTGAGTAAAAATATGTTGAAGCAGTTCTACTTTTACTTGAGGTTTTTGGTTCTTTGTTTCTCCAATAAAAGCTTCGGTTCACTCAGGAGGTTCTTCTCTGTTGCAGAGTTTTGACATCTTGTTGAGCTGTTCTGTTGTTTCAGTTCTTCTCGCAGCAGCTGCTGCTTTTCTGTCAGGATCTGCTTTGTTCTCTGTGAAATATTCCGGAGGGCGAATGCTCCAGTTGCTGTGATGCTGCATTGCTGCTCCTTCAGTTTTACTTTCGCTCTCTCTGTCCTCTCTGATGAATGCCCTACTTGCCTGTTTTCTGTCTTTGTTGCCCTGTATTTTCTTAAAAAGTCCCTCTTTTTGTTGCATCAGAAACATTATTAAGCAGTAAATGGTTAATAATGTAATAAGTTAATAAGTTGCCATTTATTTGCAGTGCATGAGGTATAAGGCAAAAAAGCCTTGTATTAATGTTTAGCTACATTCAGACTCTATCTGTGTTTCCATTAATACTTTGTAAATATTTCCCTAATGTTGAAAAAAAACCATAATCTGTAATTGTGGTGTTTACATAAAATAAGTAACTCAATTTATGATCCTTCTGCTTCTTCCTGTCGTTGTCTTCTTCATGGTTTGCGCCAGTGGCAACTTGATTATGAATTGCATCTTTGTGAAGATTCTGTCGCTTCCTTAATTTGATGAAAAAGTATTCGCTCCATTGTCAGATAAATTCACTTACAACATGTGAAAAATATTTCATTGTAACTGAATTGATCTGCCAGTGGAATTATAACTTTTTCTACAATTTTAAGGAATTCCTGCCTCTGATAAGCCCCTACATCTTGTTGAAAAATTGCATGTTAATTAGTTTTGTCTAATTAGCAAAATTAATTAGTCTTGAAATAATTTGTCTTGAAATAAGACAAAACAATTGGTTTTGTCTTATTTCAAGTGTACTGAGATATTTGCACTAAAAACTAGACATTTTTTATAAGGTTTAATGTTTTTTCAGTGTAGATGGATTTAGCAAATGCTTGATAGGATATAAGTGAACAAACTGGAGACAGGCGGATCACTAAATCATCAAAGTTATTATTGACTAATTAAACTAAAACTTGAATGAAAACAAGCTCATATTTCTTCCTGAAAGTCTCCTGTAAGTTAATTTTGTCTTATGTCAATTTAACTAGGTTACTTGTACTGAAAACTAGAGAAAAATCTTTTTTTCAGATGGTCCAGCAAGTCAACAGTTTCCACGTTTATCCAAGCAGTAAATCTCCGGGTTCGACGCCGACACTGACGCTGCTTGCAGTTAAGGAAGAAGTCGAGCTGCGTCTTCGTCTTTTGCCCCCATGATTCCTTCTTCTTCACATCTGATGATCAAAATCCAAACTTGGACATGATTCGACCGTTGTTCTGTTCAAAAGATTAAAGCCGTTTGGGTTTTGTGAGCGTTCTGGGCGTGAAGCGATAACTCTTGGTGATGAATCCCCGCTGGAGGTTGTTAATATGCATGCTTAGCCTACTTCTGCCATTCAGCCAGCAGCTTTTCAAACACAGTTGTGGAACAGAGTGATGTTGTCACAGAATCACAAAAGATCTATTTTAATTATATCTCTGGTCTAATTATACGGCTTGTTGCATGAAAGGAGCGATTGTCTGTCGAGGAGTCGAGCCTCAGCCTGCTTTGAGCCGGGTAACTGCTGGTTTGCGGCGGTTTTCTCCGTCATGCATCTGTTTCCCAGTTTTACGCCTCATTTCAGGCTCTCAAATACATTTTGATTTCACTTTGAAGCCCTGAAGGTTGAGTTCACTTTGTTTCCTCTGTTAAAGCTGCAGTGAGCTCGTATTTATTAAAACTGTCACCAGGTTGTGAGAAAGGTAATCTGTGAAAAGGGTCTCAACACTATCAGTCATGCTTGTGTATGCGCTGCTCAGTGTTTTAATGGTGGAGGAACAACTTACATCATCAGTGGCAATGCTATCTAGCGTAAGCACTCATAGCAGGTTATGTTGTGAGCTGCAGCTTAGCAAAGAATAAGTGAGGGGGCGAGCGTGAGAGTGATTGACAGCGCTAAGATCCGCCTCCTGTCTCCGATTGGTTATTTCCAGTTAGCATTGGGAGAACGCTACCTAGAGATTGATGTTTTCCACAGGTTTTCCGTCTCATGTTGTTATTATGACAAAGTGACAGTTTCAATAGGTAACAAATATGTTTTTATGAAAGTTATACACTGCGGCTTTAGAGAAAAAGTCATAAATTATACGACCAAATTTTTGTTCTGTGTCACTCAAATCCTCAAACACTGGCTCAAACTTTTAAAAAAAAGAGAAGTATTTGGGGGTTTTTACACTAAAAACTTCATTAAAAGTTTTATCCTGTTAAAACCAGAGTTGGTTAATAACCAGTTAAATTTTTTTTAAAGTACTTATTCCACTGGCAAATTATTTCACTTGTAACAAAATATTGTTTCCACATTATAAATGAAATAATCTGCCAGTGTAATTGAAACTTCTTCATCAACATAAAGGAATTATTTATTTAAAACAATCTCTTAAATTATGCTGGAAAATTAGTTGTAATTTAGTTATTTTTTAAAGTGTACTAAGATGTTTGCTCTGCAAACTAAACCCAAATGACTTGGTAAGATTATGTGTTTTTGCAGTGTACTGTTACTAAGAGCTAATCCCAGATTATTATCACCAAGAAAGAATCCCAATGTGATTGTTGTATTTTAATAATAATAATTTTAATGTGAGAATTTGCACTGAATGAAAGAGTAAAGATTCATTTTTTATTTTAGAGTCAAAGTGTTCCTTTTTTTGTTTATTTTTTTATTTTTTTTAACTCAAATATAACTTATGGTTTTTAACACCATCTCAACCTTTTTTATGATTATATTTTGACATAAATGTATAAAATTAAACACCTCCCATCTCTTGGTTTTTACAGTGCAGTGTCTGGAGATGACCACCAAACGGAAGCTGATTGGCCGGCTGGTGCCGTGCCGCTGTTTCCGTGGTGAAGAGGAAGTGATCTCAGTGCTGGACTACTCTCACTGCAGCCTTCAGCAGGTCCCAAAGGAAATATTCAGCTTCGAGAGAACCTTGGAGGAACTCTACCTGGACGCCAACCAGATCGAAGAACTACCCAAGGTGAGCACCTGTTCACCTGGTTTTGCTCCGGTTTCTGCTTCTCGATCTAAAAACATTTTGTATAAAGTCATCTTACAAGTATCTTACTTTTATCTTGATTTGTGGCAATATTTCAATTAATGTCTTTGATTTATTGCATTTACTGTATTTTTTGGACTATAAGCCGCTACTACTTTCCCTTTGAACTATGCGGCTAATAGCCAGGTGCGGCTTATACATGTATGTTTCCAGTTTCTTTTGTTTTTTTTAAATTGTAATAATGTGCCTCTATAGTCCGGAAAATACGGTAATCATTTTGTAATTGAAAATCACATATGAACAACTGAAGCTACATTTTTAATTCTGGAATCCATTTGTGCTGCTGAATTATTTCGGTTATTCAACCTTCAGGTTGCTGTAAAGTGACGTTATACTGACTGAATTTAAGTTTCAGGAACTTTTTTCTCAGGGTTTTGAGTTTTTTTCTCAATTTTCTTTTCAGAATTCTGACTTTTATCACTGAATCTTCACTTTAATCTCAGATTGTTAGTCAAGAGTCGAAATCTTTCCAAGTGTGTTTGGTTCAGTGCAAATATCTTGGTACACTTGAAATAAGGCGACACGTCAGCAAGACAGAGGCGCTTGTGTTGAGTCAGTAATTCCTTAAAATTGATGAAAAAGAATAGTTATGGAAATATGTCTTGTTATAAAAGAGCGAAGCATCTTTTGATCAATGTTAAGGAATTATTGACTTAAAACAAGCCTGTAGCTGTTTTTTTTTTCTCCTTAAAGAGACAGAGCCCAATATCTAAGTGTACTTAGATATTTGCACTAGAATTTATACCAAAAGTACTCAGTAGGATTTTGTGGTTTTTGCAGTAGTGTCCCATTTTCACACACAGAATTGGGGGTTGGTGAGGAGGGAATGCTTTTTTTTTTTTTTTTTTTTTTAAAAAGAGAAATTAATTGAGTAACATTTGCTGTTTATTATCCAGGAGTCTTTTGAGAAAGAGGTTTTTAATTAGGACGGCACTTTCCTGGTTAAATAAAACAAAAAATAAAAAACGCTTCATCACAAGAAGTCCCAGTTAAACGCGTTCTGAGACTTGATGAACTGTGGGACCCGTTAGCTCGGCACAAGGCTCGGCGCCCTGCAGGTCGAGCAGCGACTAAACGGCCTTCTAATATCTCAAGGAGAATTAAAGGTGCTGTTTATAAACGGGCTGTCACATGTATTGGTATTCTGTCCTGGTTTAAATGACAAAGATGGTGAATTGGATTTCTAAATTTAGCCTACTTGGATGGAGACCAACTAATAGGTCTCTGTGAGAGGCAGGCCAAACATGCATTTAACTGAATAAATAAAGAGTCTGCTCGGCCGTGACGACGTGTGCCAAGATTGTGTTTCGCCGCTGATTGATGGGCCTTTATAAGTGAGTTGGACAGGCCTTGTCATGTGTTTGAGTATGGCCCGGTGTGAGCCATCATTTTCACTTATTTCAGTTGCTGAAGATGTGACTGTGGTGATGCTGCTAAGATTTGGACAAATCAAATTAATACAGACGTTTGATTTGTCCACGACATCAACCAATATGTTTTCTATTTAAAGGGAAAGTATTATGGAAAATCAACATTTTTTAGCTCTACATCATAACGTGATTCCTTCATCAAATACATGCATATTTGAGAAATCCTTTAACAACCGCAGCAGCTTTTAATCTGTGCAAAAACACCTGAGACAAACTCCTTCAGACTAGCCAGCAGCAATTAGCAAACACCTGGTGGAAACATTCATCAGCTGAGATTGTTATACGAGCTACTTGTCAGAGAAACGCTGGGAAAAATGTTGATGGAGGGTTAACAGAGGAGCCATGACTTCCCGAAGGCGGAGTTTCAGAAAGAACAGAAGCTTCTTAAAGAGACAGAGCCCAAATTTAAGGCTTTAAATTACAAAGTCAGATTTGGTTTATGTAGCATTTTTATAAACAACTCAAGATTGTAAAAAAGTTGTTTATGTATCAGAACATTTTGTCAGTCCGGTCGCTTGTTAAATAACTCTTTATTTCCTCTAAATTTCAGTTCTGCTTTCTTCCACAGTGATTTGAGTGATTTGGGCATTTTTGCATATGTGTCGATGTGCATATTGGTTTCTCATCTCTGGAAAATTTATTTTATGTGCCGAAATGGATTATATTCTCCCTGCTGGGAGAAACAAATTCAGAGAATTATGAATTGCTGTGGAAGAAAAACCAACCAAATGTTAAAATGATCAAAATCTGTTGGTGGTTTGAAGATCCCAGTTGAAATTTTGGTTTGTGCCTTTTAGTGAGACATTTTTTCACTTGTTTTTAGGGAATCTGTTTGTATTCTGTAATACTCAACATTTTAATATGATTACTAAAATATGTTTTAACTCCACTGAGGCAAAACTGAGTTTTTATGAATTAATTTTCAGTGATACAACATATTTGGTTTCTTAAACAATCTTTTCATAGTATTTAGAAAATTTAAACCCTTTAAAATTTTCATCAATGCTCTTTTTACCATTATGTTTGCTGCATTTCCTCATACATGATACTGAATGCTGCTTCTTTTTATTACTCTTTCGTCCTCCAGGGCAACTGTATGGGGAAAATTAAATCTGCATTATTTATGGGAAGAAGCAGTTAAACAGACCAGCTTATCCAAGCCTGCAGCAAACTTTCAGTACTCTGTCTGGTTATGTGGCGTTCTGTTTGATGTCTGTTTGACTTTTTCATGCAATTAAAATATTCTTTTGTTCTCCATTGTTTTCTCTCACAGCAACTCTTCCAGTGCCAGGCTCTGAAGAAGCTAAGTTTGCCCGATAACGACCTTTCCAATCTTCCCACCACCATCGCCAGTTTGGTTAACCTCAAAGAGTTGGACATTAGTAAAAACGGTAAGGTGCAAAAACAAATAAGTCGGCTAAATTTACTGCTGTTGTTATATTAACCTTCCAAAGCTTTCTGGTCTTCTGGTTCTGGAACCAAACATCATTGACATTCGTCTTCTATGAACCACAAATCTGGAACAAACTTCCAGAAAACCTAAAAACTGCTGAAACACTGAGCTCCTTTAAATCTATACCTGAAAACCCACCTTTTTAGAGTTTCTTTAGAATCATAATAAATGAAACAACGACCACATTTTGAAGTGTAACGATGTTTTTGATGATGGCGCTCAACAAAATGTAACGTTTGCTACTAGTTTCACAATTGGTGGCTCTAGGATGTTGTTCACTTCTTTTTTCATTTAAAGCACTTTGAATTGCCTTATTGCTGAAATGTGATATTGACCCCTTGCATGTTATTGTTTACATCCGTAAATTTTGTGCATGCACAGAAATTTGGAGGACAAAGAGACGAGACTTTTACTGGTAATAGAACGACTCCGTTAACTAATTGAAAACCGGAGATGTTGGTACGACTAATTTACTGCATTCAGTACCTCACAGCTTTATGTTTTTGGGTTTGATGTTTGTTTTGTGACTATTGATAAGCAATGCGTGTGTGGTAGATTAGCTGCTAATAGCTAAGCTAACAGAGCGGTGGTTAATGCGCTGATTAAAACACCTGCTCTACTGAAGATTTGTCAGAGTTTGTGTTTATGTTTCCTCTTTTATTTTTGTAACTGAACCAAAACACACAGAATACTTTGGCACCTCCACATGTCAAGGTTCTCAGTCATGCTAGCATAAGTAGCCTACTGTCTTTGCTCTCGTGGTTTTCTTTCTGACCTTGTTATCTAGTTGTTGTACTGTTGCAAAGCACTGCGTCCCTTTTAATTTTATATAACAGGCATACTTTTACGCTTCAGAGCGTTATATTGATAACTTGAAATCAATGCTAATTATCATTAGCCAGCAGCTTTTTGGAAGATTGGGGCGGGATCTTGAATTGATTGGAACTTAATATTATTATTCACACCAACAGGAATCCAGGAGTTTCCAGATAACATAAAATGCTGTAAAGGCCTGTCTGTGGTAGAAGCCAGCGTCAACCCCATTACCAAGTAAGATCCAAATAATTTCTGTCTTTACAAACCTGAATCTTTCTCTTTATCCTGGTTTGACTGAAAATACTGCAACTTACTGTGATGCTTCTACTGAGCAGCTTGGGGAAAGTCTTGCTAACTAACTCAGAAGTCTCCTTACAATAAGTTTCTTTAACTTCCTGAAGGAAAATATGTTTCTTTGAAGCTTGTAGACGTAAAATCTGTACACTTATAACCTTGATACTGAAGTATGGATCCGCCGCAGGGTTTACAAAGTTTTTAAAAGCGCCCTAAAAAACTACAATGTCCGCATTGTGTACAGTAAAATCACAAATGAGAGCAAGGATTGACAATTACGAGAAAAAAGTGAAGCAGCTTTTGACTTGGATTCTTTGTAGTTAGTTGATTTAATTCTCAAGGTTTTCAGTTCAGATAAAAAATGAATTTAAAAAAATTTAATTCCAGTTTCCTAAAACACAAATACTATATCTGGTCCAGTTTCTAGTGTAAATTTATTAGTGCACCTGAAATAAGACAAAATTAAATTTTAAATAACTTTTAAAGGAGCTTAAATAATTCCTCAATATTGATGAAAAAGTGCAAATTATTTAACTTCCAACATGGAAAATGTCTTGTTACATGGAACTAGCACTTTTTAAAATCTATATTAATTTAAATAATAATAAATTAATAAAAACATTTAACTGAACAACTTGTTCCTTTCTGCTAGGATAATGAGTTGAGTTGGCCAACTTTAGTTTACAATCTAAATTGTTTCTTTAAGGAATAAACTACAGAGTTTATATAAAAAAAAATTTTTTCATGGGGAAGTTACTAAATTACAATTAAACTTCATGCATTTAATTATCCATACATTATCTTGAACTTTTAATAAAACCTGAGAAAATTACAAATAAACTAACTTTGTTCTTGCCTGATCTAAACTGTAGGTTTTTAAAATCCCTTTAATTAAATTTAAATAACCCGATTGTTGGTTATTTTTTTAAATAAAATTAGATTGAAACCTTTTTTGATTTAATTTCAACATTTATTTATGTACCTATCTTTGACTGATTTAGGTCTCAAGTGATCTTTTATTTTACCAACATGCATTTTGTATCAGGAACTAAATATTTGGAGGTGGCCTAGTCAAAGTTCAGAATCATAATCAAAAACAAATTCTCAAAATTTTAGTAAAAACTTTTGATTGCTGTAAAAAGAAGATGTTTAACTTACTCCTGCTTAAGGTGATGGTTTAATTGTAAAAATTACTGGAGTATTTTATTTTTCATGTGAAAAATTTGATTTAATGGCAGCGCTTTTGTCTGAACCCAAATTAATCAAAAAATCCAATAGATTCTAAAACATAGGCTTTTTCTCCACTTTTACTGCCCAAGCGAGACGCATCATAATACTTAATAAATATATCCAGACGCTGTGCATCATGTTATGTCCACTCATCAGAGCTACATATTTACAGGAGGTAAACACGGTTATCGCTGGAGTCTCAGGTGTGTGCTGTAATTACTGCTGTTCTGTGATGTTGGAGTGAAGAATGCTGCAGAGGAAAATGCGTCTTGTGTGTCTCTGTGCTGCACTTGTGCAGCAGATGAGTCATCTGCAGGCCAGCAGTGGTTAGCTGCTCCTGCTAGCATGTGTGAAAGGCTCCAGTCGAGCACATTGTCCAGGTTGCTGTCTTTAGTTTCCTCTTCTGTTGTTTTTCATTGAATTTCTCTCTTTTAAGACTCCCAGATGGTTTCACGCAGCTCCTGAATCTGACCCAGCTCTTCTTGAATGATGCCTTCCTGGAGTATCTGCCCTCTAACTTTGGCAGGTGAATTGATGCGCTGCACAAACACGAAATAAAGAAATTATGTCCAGCTTTTAGTGCAAACGCCTCAGTGCATTAGAAATGCGTTAAGTAACTTCATCAAGAAGCACGAGCTTGTTTTATTTATTTCATCAATAATTCCTTAATATTGATTAAAACGTTCCATTGGCCGTTTATTCCACAATCAATGGCCGATACGTCACCTAGCAACCCCATCCCAACCCGTCACCTAGCAACCGCATCCCAACCCGTCACCTAGCAACCGCATCCCAACCCGTTACCTAGCAACCCAGTTCCATTTCCACTGGCAGATTTAACATGGAAACATGTTATAATTAAATAATAATTTTTAATCAATATCAAGGAATTATTGACTTAAAACAAACTCCTATATCTTCCTGAAAAGTCACTTGTAATTTAGTTTTGTCTTATTTTCAGTGTAATAAGACATTTGCAGTGGAAACTAGTCTGAAAATATTTAAGATTTTGAGGTTTTAGGTGTAAATGTGTTTTTTTGTGGAGGGTTTTGGTGGGGATTAAACATTTATTTACAATCAAAGACAGTTTCATAGAGCTTTTAATTTTGTGTTTTGCATCTTTCTGAAGATGTGGAGGATATGCATGAGATTTATGCCCTTAAGGATAATTTTAAAGCTTATATTTTAGGAAGCATTATTAAATATGACGGTGGAAATGTTGTGGGATTTTGCTTCTGATTTATAATTTATACAGCTTCTTTTTTCAGTGAAAATTTGTTTTTCTCTATATACTTGTGTTATTACTGCACTCTTTCTTTTTCTTGGTTTGCTTTTATTTTTTTGAGAAAACAGAAAAAACAGTTGATCTCATTCAAATGATATTTATCCAAGATCATTAAGTTGTGATGTTACACAAACATAAATAAATTACATTTGATAAACTTATTTTGATTACATGTAACAAATTAACTCTTTTTTTTAACTCCATTGGTGACGATATTTGTTGAAAACAAAAAATCAAACACTTTTTTTTTTGCTAGGTATGTTTTTGTATTTTGTATTTCCTACTCAAAACTTGATCTTATTTTTATTTTAGTCCTTTTTTGTATTTCCTACTGTTGCATCTGAATGCAAATGAAAGGAATTAAGTTTCGGCTTTTGTTATTCAGGCTCTCCAAATTACGGATTCTGGAGCTGAGAGAGAACCACCTGAAAACCATGCCAAAGTAAGACGGGATAACATATATATATATACCTTAATATGTGTGTTTAAGAGAAATAGACAGACAGATTTAAAATAGCAATAGTTCTGCAGCTCTCAAACAGAAAGAAACTTAAATAAATATTACTATCTAATACTATTGGGATGTCCGAACTTAAATTAATAATAGAAACATTAAAATACATTGAAGCAAATTGCCTGACTTTCTTGTTGTTTTTTTGTAAAAAAAAAAAAAAAAAAAAAAAAAAAAAAAAAAAAAAAAGGATATTATTTATTGTATATCCAAAACTTTAAAATTATTTTGGGACATTTTCTGTATCAGAAGAAATTTCATTTGGGTTTGATCAAGCAAATTTATTCCGTTGTAAGAAAAAGATTTAAGTTAGCATTTCATAACTCTTGCTATAGTAAGCCAGTCCAGTTAAATAAATTAAATAAAACTTGACTTAGTCTAAGAAAAATCAGTTTTCTTAGACTAAGAAAACTGATTTTCTTAGTAAAAGGCTCTACATAGACTTTTGGTTGTGAAGAAACAAATACTTAACATTTTTGTCGTAAAATAAATTCTGTTAGTAAAACTTTTACTGTATTTAAGATAAAAAGTTGTGACAGAAAGGCCAAATTTGTATTATATCGGCCACACAAAATCACTCCAAGGGCCACAAATGGCCCTCCGACCACACTTTGGACACCCTTGTGCTAGTATGTTTCTATCACTATCACATATAGAAATACAACCGTCTCAACTGTTTTGCTTCTGAGAATGCACCCCAAATTTCAGATTGTTAAAAAATAAGGAATCGTACTGTGAGAACATGAATATTTGTTCATGTGTAAATAAAACTGAAGTCACAAAACTGTTTCCATTTTCCCTCTGGTGAGGTCCATCCACAGACTGACACAGCTGGAGAGGCTGGATCTGGGGAGCAACGAGTTCTCCGAAATGGTGAGATCTGCTTCACTCATGTTGTAATGCAGATTAAATTATCACTCATGTTGTAATGCAGATTAAATTATCACTCATGTTGTAATGCAGATTAAATTATCACTCATGTTGTAATGCAGATTAAATTACACATCACAAAATAAAAGTGAAAGGAGAAACGACAGAGAACCACTGAGATTAAAGGAAACCTGTAGTTACCATCTGTTTAGATACAAAGAAGAAAACTGCTGGGAGTTCTGCCAAAGTTTGGCTCTGAGATTTTAGGTACAAATCCGTTTGGAAGTGACAATAAATCAACAAATGAAACTATTATATTGCAGTGTGCGTTGCTTTTTTTTTTTTTTTGGCTTCAATTTTTCACCTGAAATGCTGAAGGAGAAAAAGAATCGTTCCACAAAATCTGGAGTTTCTCTCTCGTTTTAGGAAATACCATCAAATGACAGTTATTACCCAATATTTATCTTGCTGGGCAGTAATTTAAATGCAGAAATAAAGGAGTGTATTCATCATTGTGACAGGTTAAAACTATCTGTTTAATGTACTTAGTGAAGAAGGTTGAAAAAGTTTAAACTGAAATCCTTACTTCTCTTTTGTATTTGTATTTCTAGCACTTTTTTTTTCTTTTTTCATAAATGTAACCATTTGGTTCACAATAACTTGTACCGAGAAACCATCACAAAGGTTTTATGAAAGCGTCTGTCCATCTTTACTCTGAGCCAAACGACACAAACTCTTCAAAGGTTTTCTTGCATTTGTAAAAAGATATTTGCTCATTTTATTCCAGAAGGTAGCAGAATAATTCACAAAACTTAATTTGCCGTTTTAAAATCACAAACTTTTGCGAAGCCAGTATTTTTTTTATGTTTGTCGTATTTTTAAAGACTTACAGGCTGCGTTCTTTGATTATCAGCGTTTTCATGCATTTGCTTATTGTTTTTTTCCCATTATTTGCATTTGACCATGTGAAATCATGTTTTATCTTGTTAGCCAGAGGTGTTGGAACAGATGCACAGCCTTAAGGAGCTGTGGCTGGATAACAACTCTCTACAGTCTATACCTGGGGTGAGACAACCTTCATGTTTTGCAGCAAAGTCGGAGCATGGGAGTAGAAATGACACATTGCAGCAGACCTTAACTTCTAACGTCTGCTCTCCTGCAGTCTATAGGGAAGCTTCGCCATTTGCGGTACTTGGATTTGGCCAAGAATCGCATTGAGACGTTGGATGGTGACGTCTCAGGCTGTGAGGCCTTAGAAGATCTGCTGCTGTCCTCCAACATGCTGCAGCAGCTGCCGGACTCCATAGGTACGAAAATCAACCTGTTTATTATTCACACTAGTTCCTGAAAAGTGCTGTTGGTCTTCTTGTATCATTTTCTGCCAGGCTGCTACAAATCTGCATATAATTATCTAAAACAAATTAAGTGGTAATTTATGTAAATAATTATGTTAAAGGGGCAGTACATCTTTTATCTGTACATCATGTTATAACACGGTTAGCTCATCAGAACATACCTGGAGGGTTTGATTCTTTCATGCATGTTTGAGAAATCCTTTACTCTCCATGGCAACCAGAACGCCTGGGTGGACTTAGCTCCGCCTTCAGGATGCAGCTCCTCCCCCATTCAGCTCCTTCAGACTAGCCAGCAGCAATTAGCAAACACCTGGTGGAACTGAAACTCTGCTGATCTCATGACAGGAGCCACTTCTCAGTGAAACGTTGGTACAACTGTAGTTAAAGGGTTAATAGAGGAGCCATGTTGTGATCACGTTCTGAAGGCGGAGTTTTTAAAGAGACAGGTGCAATTTTAAATTGTATTTGATCTATGTAGCATTTTTTAACAACTGAAGTTAAAATAGTTACTTGATTGTGCTGTGAAATGACACAGCGTGCCTGGAAAACACACAATTCTGCCTCTTTAAAGCCAAAGGAATGAAAGTTTTTAGCTGCATATGTGTAAATTTGCACTGATGTTTCTGCATGTGTTGCAGGAATGCTAAAGAAGCTGACCACTCTAAAGGTAGATGACAACCAGCTGACCTCACTGCCTCACACCATTGGGAGGTAAGAAACCAAAACAAATCTGACTCTTCAGCTGAAGTCACATTAGCTGGCAGCAGCATTCATACTCCACTCAACGTTTTCACATTTTACCATCACAAACGTCAAAGTTTTTAGTGATATGTTAAATAATGGAAGGACACAAAGTGGCACACATTTGTATCCTGTAAAAACCAAAATTATTCTGATGATGAGCGACTAATTTGAGCCACATGAATATTCTAATTTGAAGTTAAGCTAACATTTTGAAATAGCCCAGCTAAAGTTTCATCTCCAACTGACGAACATTAGGGTTATGGCAAAGCAGTCTTCTAACATGTTTTGTATTAAATATGGATTATTGAAATATAATTGAAAACATACAAAAATAGATTTTTCTTTGATTGTTGTTTACCTTCAATTTTTAATTAAATGTAAAAAAACCCATATTGTTTAGATTTTAAGATATTTCTGTTGCAATAAAAACACTTTAAATGAATATTTTTGTGCTTTATTCACTTTGTGCAGACTTAATCCTTCAGGATTATTAAACTACTAGTCCTTTTTGATGCCTCTGAACCAACTTCATACATAGGAAATCAGGTTTTCTTTTTTTGTGGCAAAATGGCTCAAACGTTTAAAGGTTGGATGTGAAAGATGAAGCTGTTCTATTTGAGAGAAATTTTATTTCATGGCCTCAAAGTAAAAGAGGCTAAATACGCCACCATAAGCACAAATCCCACTAAAAAAAGTTTAACTTGTGTTTGTGATGTGACAAAACGTGCAAAGGTTTACGGATTATGAGCATCTTAGTGGTATTCTTTGCTTTACTTTCAAACCTCCTTCAGCCGACTCTCAGTAGCTTATGAGGGTCAGTAGGTGGGTCGTTAATCTTGTTTATTGCTGTGTTGTAATGCTGGCTGATGATTGGTTGGGGGGGTCTGTGTGTTGTGTTTGCTGCCGTGCTGTGGCGTTAGTCCGAAGCCAAAGCAAGGGTGAGTAACACGAGCCTTCTGGAGTTGAGGGCTTGTTCAGAGACAGCTGTTCAGCCGTGCTGCAGATACAGAGAATCGACGCTTGCTGCCACATCCTGCCAATGTGGGGAACTTTTCCTGTCCCAAACAATTACATGCAAACATATAAATAAAAAAAAACAAACGATTCTCTCATTACCTCATCTGTAAAGTTTTGATTTAATCTCTAAAAATGATAAATGAAATTACTGAAAAACACGAAATGAAAATGGTTGCATGTAAAGTTACTGCAGTGATATATGGATGTACTGAAAAAATAAAATCTTACCAGTTTTTTTTTTTTTTTGTGGTCTAGGTTTTAAAGGTAAAGGTAATTTTATTTAAATAGCACATTTTAAAAAAACAAACCAAAGGAAAGAGCAAAGAAGAAAAAGTTGATAATGTTGATCCAAAGTACATAAACTAGACATTTCTAGCACAAACTAACTTACCAGTAACTTTTCAACAAGATATAGGAGCTTATTTTAATTCAACGATCCCTTATTTTGGATTTAAAGATACAAGTTCCACTGGAAGAAGATATTTTTTCCATAAATGGAACATAAATAATCTGGCAGTGAAACTTGTATGTTTTCATCACTTTTAATGAAATGTTGACATAAAACAGGCTCTGATATCGTGATAAAATTTTACTATGAGTTATTTCACCAAGTATTTTTGGTTCCTAGCGTCAATATCTTACCACACATAAAATAAGACAAAACCATGAGTAACTTCTCAGCGAGACAGAGGATGAGCTTGTTTTAAGTAAATAATTCCTGAATATTAATAATTAAGCATTGGCTCCACTTGCACATCATTTCATTTTTCTCATGTTAGAATTAAAATAATCTGCCAGTGGAACCAGAACTTCTCATCAATTTTGAGAAATTGTACTTGAAACTAGGCCAACAATAATTGGTAAGATTTTGTTTTGGAGCTCATAAAATAAAGGTTAAGCAGCATTAAATGTATTGTTTACTTTAAAGATATTTGAGATACAATGATAAAATATGTGGAATGGTTCCTGTAGGTCATTTTAGTCCATTTTTTGTTGTTTTTTTGTTTGATTTTAATACATTTATTGACTTCATTTGTGGAAAGAATCATTCAGTTCTTTGCTTAATTTTACGGTTTCACTGAGTGACTGCAGAGATTCAATTAAACTATATTTCTTCTAAGCTTAACATCTTTGCAAGATCTGTATCTGAACACTCTGAAAGCTTTCTGTCTTCATGAACAAGTCCCAGGTTGTAGTTCTGTAGATTAATTACTTCCCTTTAAAGCTCCTTATTGTTTCGTATCCGTTGTTTGAAGTCTTTCTTACCCCTGATGAATATGATCCCTTTATTCTGTGTCTTCTTTAGATTTTTGAATAAGCTACCGCATAAGTTTTATTAATTGTTGTGCAGTTTGCTTCATACAGTCTGGACTTTACTTTCATTTTATTTTATTTTTTACTTCCTTCAAACCCCTTAAAGAGCCTTAAACATCAGCTGTGAACCACAAATGTTATATTTTAAAGCCAATTAAAATAGATTAAAGGAAATTCTCTGCTTGTAAAAATGACATTGTCTCAATGGTGGGTAGATTGAATGTTTCTGCAGAGGAATTTCATCAAATACTGGGAAAAACCCAGGCTAGGTTTTAAATCCAGAACCTTTTTTCTGCAAGACAAGACCCCTACTAACTGCACTTACCATGCAGACTTTCACATTTGTGAGCAAAGTTGTGAAATTATCATTTGGTTTTTACTTTGGACTAGGCTGGAGACAAGAAAGTAGCTGCCCCTGTAATTTACTCCTCAAGAAAAATTGCTGCCGTTTTCCGAAAATTAAAATTTTTCACACACAAAATTCTTGTCTGTGTCTTGAACTTTACTTCCAACCAGATAGCGACTTCATTTGAAATGTTAAAGGACACAAATCAGAAAATTTGGATTGAAAAAAATGACACTTTGCTTCTCTGAACCTTTCTCTGAAAGTTATAATTGAAACCACAATAGGAAACACAAATGCTACTCACTATACGCTAACCTTGTCTTGCACCTCTCCTCTCGTTTCCTCCCATCTCATCTGCTCCCCTCCAGACAGCATGGTCGTCCAGATGGTCCCGTCTGTTGGGAATAATAATAGCAGACGAATGTAATGTTAACAGTGGCAGAACGTGAATGTAAAATTGTTGTCTCATTAGCATTAGCATGCTGTCACCTCGGTGTCAGGCCAGGGAATACACATAAAGAGGAGTTTGGTTTTCTGCACTAGATGTTACGGTAGAGAAGCTGGGATCTATAAAACTGTAAAAATATTGATTAATTTCAAGCCTTTATCTTTCATTTTAATCCTAATTTCATAACGAGCCATCACAGCTCCAAATTCAAATTTTAAAAAGTTTTAAAAAGTTTTGTTTAGATTTTCAAAACAAACATTTTCTTTGCATGCTGGTTTGTGATCCTATGTGCAGAGTTGGTTCCCAAAACGTTTGCTCAAAC